TATTGCTCTAGGAGACACTGTAATGTTTTCCCTAGCAACAACAAGGAAAACACATAGCTTTTGAATACTTTAATCTTTCTAGCATAGCTCAGACAGCAGCAGCTCATCTATTGTCAGGCATAAAAGACCAGGTCCACCGGTGAAGGCCCAATTAAGCTGATTTATTGCTAAAAACTTGGTGACAGGAATCTACTCAACTAACTGGTCAGCACATGTTGGGAGTTAGATAACAGTTAACAGAAATCAAGGGGGAGTAGGGTTGGACATAATCTGCTTGTGACTATGTAGGGATTCTAGGCTGATCCTTCTTTTAACTCCGCCCCCAGGTTTTTCTACTGCTTCTCCTACACCAGCGGTTCTCAACCTGTGGGTCGCGACCCTTTTGGGGGTTGAATGACGCTTTCACAGGGGTTGCCTAAGACCATCGGAAAACACATATTTCCGATGGTCTTAGGAACCGAGACACCTCTCTCTCTGTTGCAGCCTCACTCTCTTCCATCTTCTTTTCCTTCCCACCTCCCCGCGAGCTTGCAATACTCCTCAGGGCCTCACGTTGCCTCCCGGAGGACTCAGCTGTTCGGCGGCCAGAAGTTGGAGCTGCTCAGCTGTTGGTCGGGACGCCCACAGAGCCGACAGCCATGCTGCCAGGTAGAACAGCACCAGCCGCTGGTCTCCTTTGCTGCCCTGCACGTTGTCCTCGACCCCTCCCCTGGAGGCTTGACAGGGAGAGATGGTGGGAAGGAGGAAGGGACTCCTCCTCCTCTCCTAAGGTTCAAAGCATGATCAGCTTCCTAAGGGCGTCACAATCCCAATTCATGTGTTTCTGCCATACCTCCTTGGTGCTCCTGGGAACGGGGTGGGCGGAAGAAAGCTTGGCTAGGCTAAGCAAAGAAAAACCACGGAGCCGCGAGCTAAGATCGCAGGCAGGCCGGGGAAGGGAGTGAAGAAGAGGAAGGTGATTGGGAGAGAGGAAACGCCAAGTTTGTACTCGCCTTTCCCAAGGACCTCCTGCGCTACCTCACAGAAACACCTGGTTTCAGATTTACACCGCAAAAGTTTTTCTCGCACAGAGGAGAAAACAATTACGGAACACTCGGGAATCCCTTGCAAGGCACCATGTACCTTGGTGCTTATTTCCTAACGCCTTCTCCCCCGTGTTTTCTGCTCCACCCCAAATTCGCCTCCCTTCCACTCTACGGAGTCATCTATCCACTCTCCTTACGGAGTCATCTATGGTCTTAATACAGCCCTCCGTCTGTCTCCCTTTCAACACCCCCTAAAATTCTTCATTCAGGCAGACTTCCAGAGTTCGGCTGGCAGGATGCAGGTAAACCCCCCCCCCCGTCTTGCTGCCTCCCATGGCATTGCGCTGCTCCGTGTCCCGTGCCTCCGTGCCTCAAGCCTCAATGGCACAGGACCACTGGTGTGGTCCCCAATGGCCACTGACTCGCTCCCCACCGCCAGTGACCATGCAAGCCCTGGCAACTGCTCCAGCCTAAGAAGCAGGCGGCTGGGAGGCTGCCGCGGCACCAACCTCCTGCGCCCATCAGCTGGCTACCGCCGGACCTGCACCCATCAGCTGGAACGTCCGGCAACGCTTTGGCCGGTGAGGAAGGCGAAGGGGAGGCCACCGCAGCGCCAAACTCTGCGCCTGTCAGCTGGCGACCCCCAAACTTGCGCTTGTCAGCTGTGAGGTCTGGCAAGTGAGCCGGCTGGCATGGAGGGCTATGGGGAGGTGGCAGCTCGGCAGGCGGGGTCCTGCCTGCCCGCGAATGTCGGGCCCACCCGCCCCATCTGTAAAAGAAAAAGTCTTCCACCCAAGCATAACTTTTAAGGATTTTAAGGATCTTTGAAAGGAAAAGAGAAATAAAGAGAGGGAGAGAAAGAGGGAAAGAGAAATAGAGAGAGGGAGAGAGAGAAAAAAGAGAGGGAGAAAGGGAGAGAGAAGGGAGGGAGACGGAGGGGGAGAGAGAGAAAGAAGGAGAGAGAGGGAGAGAGAAAGAGAAAGGGAGATGGAGACAGAGAGAAAGAAAGGGAGAAAGAGGGAGAGAAAGAGAGAAAGAGACAGGGCGGGAGAAAGAAAGAGGGAAAGAGAAAGGGAGAGAAAGAGAGGGAGAGAGGAAAAAAGAGGGAGAGAGATTAAATTAGTAACATGGTTGTTCAGTGAATCTGGTTTCCTCACTAACTTTGCTTGTCACAAGGTTGCAAAAGGTGATCACATGACCCAGGAATAATTTTATGGTTGGGGGTCACCACAACATGAGGAACTGTATTAAAGGGTCACGGCATTAGGAAGGTTGAGAACCACTGTCCTACACTGAATGTCTTAATGAGGTATTTATACTTGTCTTTGCTGATATCCTGTACAGGTGCTCCTTGACTTACAACCATTCATTTATTCATTGACTGTTCAAAATTACAGTGGCACTGAAAAAAGTGACTTAGAAGGGGTCCTCACACTTACAGCTGTCACAGCATCCCCACAATCATGTGATCGCCATTTGTAACCTTCCTTGCAGGCTTTCAATAAGCAGAGTCAATGGGGGAAACCAGATTCACGTAACGATCACACAATTCACTTAACAACTCTGGCAAAAAAAGGTTGTAAAATCCAGTGTGACTCACTTAGCAGCCATCTTGTTTAGCAGTGGAAATTCTGATCCCATCTGTGGTCATAAACTGAGGTCTACCGGTAATGGGCATAACAAAAATCCAGAAGGGAAAAAAATACTGACTGCATGGCTAATAGTGAAGAATGCTAGATGCTGTAGGAACAGCTTCTCCCAAGCTACAGGCTGCCCAGTTCTGCTTTAACCAAAGCTGTTCACGTTTAAGCCTTGTAGCTAAATTTTAAAAAGCCGCAGGTATTCAGGACAACTGTGTTTTAATTGATCTTTCCTTTGAAAATGTTTTTATTTTTATCGTTGCACAGTTGACCATGCTTTAAAAGCAACCTCGATGCAAATAAAACAATAGTATTGTATGTCTGTCTGACTTCTGCAATATACATAGTTGAAGATACAAGGACTGATATAGTTCTCCTGACACAAGCATTTTGATTGTGGTATAAAATGTTCCCTCACTGAAAATATCGGAAAGCAATGTAATACAAGAATATATCAAGTTGAGATTGTTGGAACAATATAGCTTAGGAAGGCTAATACAGGCTAAGAACAATAGTTACAAAAGATACAGCAGCTTTCTATATTAATGTGCAGCTTTAGGCAAAATCTTTCTCATAGCGAGACGCTAGTGCTGTCCTCAGATTGCAAGCCTTCTGTGTAGACCCAGGAGAAGGCTTCCAGGTTACTAATAACATTTACCTGTAGATGTTTTGTGTGAATGAAATCCCTCTCTTCAAAGTGAGGAAAGGGAATAAAAGTGTTATGTCTGTGCTTGTTTAAGAACATTGTTATGTTTCTGTGTCTCTTTGAATAAAGATGTCCAATTATGTATTATAAGAGAACTTTGGTACTTAAACAGTAACGCTTTATAGGATTTATGAAGAATGTATCAGTTCTGTGGGGGTCCTACCATGTTGAAATTGCAGAGTAGTAGTAATGGAATGCAAGTTGTTTTTAATGAAAATAGTTTTGATTGAAGCACGTGTTGACAATGGATGTTCATAGAGTAAATATACTTCTTATACAAATTGCCTTGGCTTATTGATATTTTTCATTTCTTGTCACTTTTATTAGGCCTAATGCCTATTCATTTCACATTTTACAGATACGGCAGATGGTGTATCTCAAGAGCTGTTCTCTGCAGGCTTGGTTGATGGCCATGATGTAGTTATAGGTAAATTATGTTTCATTCTAAGATTATGTTATACCCAAAACTCAGAACATTAAATGCATACAGGCCCATTCATAATATCATCCGTGCTTGGAATTTTATGAAAACATACCACAGCATTTTTCTTCAATTCACAAGTTATATTTCCTGATATGATTTAGACACATGCTTCACTTTACTTTAATTTAGGTATTCTTTCTTCACTTTGGTCTTTATGTTCTAAAAATCTTATATTAATGCTTCTGTTTTCTTCTGTCTTTTCTATTCCTTCTGACATGTCCCTTTGGATTGTGATTATTGTGTAACTGTCCCTCGCCAGCCTTAATAACTTCAGTAAATCTCAAAAAACGAGAGAAAGGATTTAGATTCTATAGGATCTTCATGGATGATGAGCAACAATTTTCCACATCAGCAGCTACTTGGGAGCTGAAATGATTAAAGTGGTCTTTCTCAGCTTGGTACCAATCAAATGGGAAAAGTTGAAACTATGTTCGAAATTTGTGGTTTCTCTGTTCTGTAACTCAAGCTCTGCTTTTATAATCTCAGGCTGAAGGAGAATTAAATAAAATCCTCAATTTTAGTTTAAATCAGGAGGGCAATAGGATGACTATAGAATCTTGAATTTACTTTATTTCCACTTAATATTGTTGATACTGTGCTTTCAGGAGAAAAGTAGAGCATTTGTCTTTATATAGATACTGAAAATTGTTTAGGAATTTGACGGGAGCCCTGCCCACAGGCCCAAGTTCTATAGCACTGTTTCTCAATCTCAGCAACTTTAAGATATGTGGATTTCAACTCCCAGAATTCCTCAGCCAGCATGCTCTCTGGGGAATTCTGGGAATTGAACTCCAAGCTTCGTAAAGTTACTGAGCTTAAGAAACACATTCATTCAGTGAACTAGACTTACAGTGTTATTTGTGGACCTTCACACATTTTTCTTTGTTTAGTTTTTACTTATCTATGTGTATACATAACATTTTTTAGAAAATATGTGCAAGGGAGACAGATAATATTACTTGTTCTCCCATGAGAGATACAAATTGCAACAAAAACTTGTTTTGTGGTTTAGTTCTGCCATCTTCCAGAATGATGAAGAATCAGTGCCATCTCTTTGAATAAAATACCAGATATTTAAACCAGCCAAACTTCCTTCTTTCAGAGTTTCTGTTTGATTAAAAAAAGTATAATTATATCAAATAGGATTTTTTTTGTCATTTTTTATAGTGTATACACCCTCATTTACAAACAGTTCTTCCTGCAGTCCTCCAAATGAATATTTTTCTGTAACTTGAAATGGCAAGGATAAATTGAACTTTTATTTTCAGGAAGAAAACTGTAGCATACATTCTTTCCCTCTGTTTGCATTCCAAAGACTCCTGTGGATTACATGCCATTTTTTAGGTGAAATATGCACAAAATTGACCTGTTGATGTGAGAAAAAAACAAAAATTGAATTTGGTGAAAGTACTTTGAGATCTGAGATTCTATTTATTTTCTTCATGAACTATAAATAATACAAAAATTGGAAAACCCAGATGAACAGGGCAATATTTTTCTTTGACTTATATATCTTTATATTGTATATTAATAATTATATCAAGTAAATCTGAAAACTTCCAACAACATGCACAGATAGAAAGTTTTATTGTGTGTGTGGGTAAGCACACTTCAAGCACATTTATTGTGTGGTGTTGATTTTAAGGAGGCTTCATGTGTGGTGTTTAAAAAGATTTGATATGAGGTTCAACATGAGTTTTAAAACAAATATAATACTTCCGGGCAAGTCAGTGTGTCTGTAAAATAGAAAAACCTGAACTTTTTAATGACTTTTTATTCCTTGTTCAAAAGATAAATCTTACACGTAAAAAACACAAGTAACTTTGCTTGAATTCATCAGTTCTAGTTGTGTCTGTCATTTTCACTCAAACTTAAATTTAAATACGCTTTTCAAAATAAGAGTCTCTTGGCTTATATTGAACCATAAATCAGCGCTTAGCCCTGATGCCTCTAATAAAAATAAGATTTATGACCCATTTCCTAAAGCAGGGTCATCCGTGAATTTACCTCATTCATTCATTTAGAAAACATTGCTTGCATTAGCCATAAATAAATCGCTACAGATCAGACGATTTTGTAAGAGTAAAAGTAAATGGTAAACCTTTCTACCTATATAGACACACTTGCATGCACATGCACACACTACAGTGTTTATGATGCTGGAGAGACATCTCCTGTATTCATTCTTTACCCTTGTCAACATGATCAGTGATAAAGAGAATTCAATAAACCTGGAGGAGCACCAGCTTGCTGTTTGTGTCTTAAAGCTCTGTTGGGTCCTAAAGCTAAAGTAACCACTTCTTGAATGGCAGCTCACATTAGAGACAGCTAATGTGCATCCAGGCATATTGGGATAGTTGTATTCCTTCTTGTGATCCTTCCTATGGTGATGAAAATACAATTGGGCTCCAAGGACAAACTCTGAATGAGATTCCTGCCGAATATTTTTATCCAGGGCCCAGGTCTGATTAAGAGAGACATCCAAAACTTGTTTGAACGTTAAGTCTTAATCTCTAATGGAAGATGAGAAATTTTTTTCAATATGCTAAAGCAGTCTTCTGCAGCCATCTTCCAGATGTGTTAGGCTTATAAGGAAGCATAACTTTCAGTAGTTGCCCTTGCTAATGTGAATCAAGAAATCTGTAAAAGCCCTTTAGTTTTAGCATTTGTTCCCATTCAAAACTGCAATTTAGTTCACTGGAGATGAAAAGATGGGATTTCATGGTAGCCAATTGTATGTGTGATACTACAAGAAGAGACCGAGCTAAATATATAACCAAGACAGGCCTTGCTAGGGGGAAAAAAAACTAAACTACCTTCCAGCTAAACTAAATGATTTTGGCAGTAAACTGCAAGGATGCCTTTATGATACAACACATAACATGTAGTGACGTCATTGTATAAATGCTCTGAAGATGTGTGAGCATTGGATCATCTGATGCAAATGTCAGTCATCTCATTTACCTGATGACATAATCACACATTATTTGTCCACTCTACTCTTCCTGCAGATGCTGAGAAGTAAGCTAGAACCTTCAGCAGGCAAAGCAATTGAATCAGATGGGTCCCTCACACACACGCACGCGCGCGCACACACACACACACACACACATGCTTAAGCTTTACTGTTGTCCTGAAAAGTGAAAGTCTTGTGAAAGTCTAAGTTAACCTTCCAGCAGAATAGCTAAGAAGAGACTAACTAATGAGAGCTGCTTCGTGGTATTTGAAGCAGAACATCCAGATTCAGTCACAGTTTTGTTCCATACAGTATTAACCTTATGAACTCTCAAACTTCTTCTTTCCACTATGTATTCAAGATGAACAGTGATTAATATTTATATGTTATTTATATGTAAAGGTATAGGTTTATACATATGTTGTATGTAGCACGTTTAAATGTGTGTTATGTATGTGTAAACTTTTGAGAGCAAGCAACTAAGTTTCATTTTTAATGTGTGCCAATGTGCCCACAGTAAAAAATGACAATAAAGGTTATCTATTTGCTGCACTTAGCTTGCTAGATACTATAGTTCTTCCTGATAGGCTGAATGTGAAATCTCCATTGTAAAATAACTGTACATTTCAGTGAAGGAATATTCTCCAGTGCCGCATTTGCTTATGAAAGTTATATTTGATTTTTCTTTCTGAATTTCTATACAGAGAGCAAGAGGTGTTAAAATATGCATGAAATAGATTTCTGGCAAGAGTAAATGAGGGGCTGATTATTAGTTTCATGCAAAGTATGGTCAAAAGAAAAACTGAAATGGCACACCGTAACATTATTATTTCGCAGTAGCGCAGAAAGATCACCTGCAGGAGTTTGCCTAAAGGGTGGATTTGCTGAAGGATATAAAAACAATATAGTTTCTCTTGGAAAAGCCATAGTGGTTTATTCTGTGACTCTCCTCCACAGCTCTCAAAATGGTGCCTGGCTATAAAGCTCATTCTAAGCCTAGTGAGAAGTTACAGAACACGAGGAATTGTCCTTAGGCTTTCACTGCTCACTGGAACTTGAGTACAGGTCATTCTCAACCTATGACTACAAATGAGCCCAAATTTTTGTTACTAAATGAGACTGTTGTTACAACCTTTCTTGCCATAGTTGTTAAATGAATCACTGCATTTGTTAATGTTGTTAAATGAATCTGGCTTCCCCATTGACTTTGCTTGTCAGAAGGTTGCAAAAGGTGATCACATGACCCCAGGGACGCTGCATACGTCATATGTATGAGTTGCCAAGGGTCTGAATTTTGATAGCATGACTATGGGGATGCTGTAACGGTTGTATGAAAAATGGTTATAAGCACTATTATTAGTGCTGTTGTAATTTCAAACAGTCACTAAATGAATTGTTGTAAATCGAGGACTACCTGCATTAGCAAAAACATTTTTTGACACCACAGCTACTTGGGCTTTTGATGATAAAACTAAATCCAGGAATATCCTTGGATTATGTTTTTTCCTTTAGGGGAAGGACAATTCCATTCCATTGTATCCATTTTGAAAACCAGCTGTGCAAAAAGCATTCTGGTGTTGTTATATGGTTTCAGTTCATTCGGTTCAGTTTCACCTCCAACCAATTATACTTCCAAACACAGATTCAGTACCTATACCAGTGATGGCGAACCTTTTAGAGACCGAGTGCCCAAACTCTAACCCAAAACCCACTTATGTATCATCGGTTGCCGGATGGGTATGGCCCATTGGATAGGTGTGGCTCATTGGGTGGGCATGGCCCATTGGATGGGTGTGGCTGCGGTGGTAACGGCAAACTGGGTGGGACTAAAAAGTTCAATCAATCAATTCCAACTTTGCAAGATTTTTTTTTCCCGCGAGAAGTTGAAATTGATTGATTGAACCTTTTTTTTTTTTTGCACAAGGCGGCGGAGGCCTAAAGCGAAAAGGTTTTATAAAACCCAGCTGAAGGCCTAAGACTGGGGTGACGGCACATGTGCCCACAGAGAGGGCTTTGCGTGCCACCTGTGGCACACGTGCCATAGGTTCGCCACCAGGGACCTATACTGTATGACCAATGGCAAGGAGTTTGCAAGCTAAGCAGGTTTGGACCTGGTTTTTACATGGACATCCCTTGGCTATTGATTAAACTGAGACAACAGAAGTAATTCCAGAATGTAATGGCGAATGTTACTGATACTTTTGCCATTGCAGGTAATCCTCAACTTGCAACCATTCATTTAGTGACCATTTATAAAAAAGTAACTTATGACCAATCCTGATAACTTATAGCAGTCGCAGTGTCTCCTGGTCCCATGCGACCAAAATTTTGCAACTGGCATGTCTTTACAGTGGTTACAGCATCCTGGTGTCATGTGATCACTATTTACAGACTTCCCAGCTGGTTTCTGACAAGCAGAGTTAATGGGGGATGTTGGATTCACTTAATGACTGTGCGATCCACTTAAGTGACTACAACCATAAAGGTCATACAATGGGCACAAGTCCTTTAACTGTGTCGCTTAACGAATTCCAATCCCTATTGCCATTGTAAATCAAAGACCTTCTTCAGTTGCCTATAAAACCTACTTTGAGGTATCCATGAAATCACCACAAGGAACATGATTCAAAGGAGGTATCATTTGTCCTCAAGACTGTGACCTTGCCCCAAATTCTCCAATGGGCTCACCTACAAGTTCAATACTTGAAAGCAGGAAGGACAGAATAGAACTGAAGGATCTTACTTTTTACCTTTAGACACTTTTGGTGTACAAGATTCCCCATTCTAGAAATGATGCTAGTAGCAAAAGCTTCCACTTCCAGTACTTACAATGAAAATTAGGCCATATTCAATATTCTCAACTTCACATGTATATAGAGGATGCTGATCTTGTGGCTTGGTTTTTCACTCCTAGCCTATTCATGCAAACAATAAATATTAAAGTTAGCAATAGATTATGCACAGAGACATTAGCTATTTGGGTTGTCATGCTCGTTCAAAGTGAATATAAATGTAAAATTAAAGACATGATACAGACATACTATTTCTCAACAAGGGGTGACCCTGAAGAAGTTACTCTAGAAAAATTACATTATTTTTTTTTATTCTAGGAAGGAAAAGTGATACTAACCTGGACTTCAGGCTGAATGCTTCCCATGATTAGCATCATTTGGGATGCCACCAATCATGGAATTAACTCCATTTCAGATGCCTCCTTTTATAAATGTCTCATACGAAATGCCTCATTCTTCTCCTCATAAATAAATTCCTTCTATTTATTAACTAAATACCATGTCACTTGGTGTGTACTCCATGCTTTTCATGCTTTGTTTTCCCCAGTTGCTGCTAATTTACAAAAAATAGTAGATGACCCCAGAGCCTTGAAAACATTAACCTTTAAACTGGTAAGTAAAGTACCGTTGGAGATGAAATAATGTAAGTAAATAGAAAAGAATTACTGATCTTTTTGAGCAAGGTACTTTCTTCATTTCTGGCCTTTATTAGTCTTTTTTTTTTAACTGAATGCTGACCTTTCAAGCATTTTATTAGTTATGCAAAATGAAGTTAGAAAGTAAAAAAACAGCCTTTGTAGCTTTTTTATTTCACTCGCTGGAAATCATAATTTATAAGAAAGAAAAAGAAAAGCCAGCACTACTCTATCAATCTCTGGTGAGCTGACAAACCTTAACATATATCTTGTGTCCTTATGCTCCTCTGTATCTCCTGGTGCCTCCCATGAATTGGCTGACAGGGATAAGACTTTCTGATTTGTGTTAGTTGAGTCCCTGAATCTACAATAATTTATTTCTTAAGAAGACAGTAAAATTAAGCTTGGGCATCTGGCATGAAGTTTGCATTTTTCTGGGTAAATAGCTTACTGTTTGGGAATTGTGGAAATTATTATGTGTTTCCTGAAATCCAGAAGGCAATAATAATAGCCATGCTATAGCATGTTTAGCTTCTCTCAGCTATAGTTTGTTCACCCAGCATACTTCCTCTTACTTTTTTTTTATGGGGCCCAATTCACACATTTGATCTGCATCATTCCCATGCTTAATAATTTGCAAATGAAAGTATAGATTCCTTCTGAAGGTACATGTCGGCTTGGACCTTCAGATAAAATAAAAGACTTGTTGAATAATTTTTCTCCTCTTCCTTTAGCCATGTATATCACTATAAAAAGTGGAGTGATGGGTTGAAAAGTGCTCACGGATAGTCAGACATTCCCATATTAAATCAAAATGTTCTGACTGAGCAACTTCTCCTTCCTATGCCTCATTGTTGAGGGATGCCCTTGTTTTATTTTTATTTATTTCAAATATTTATATTAGGCTCCCCATTTAAAGGAAAAAGGGATGTGTTTTGTGATGACTCAAGAGAAAGGGATCACCATTTCCAGCTTCCTCCATTGATTATAAATATATGCGGTTTCCAAATTCCCAAATTTTGATCACATGACCATGGGGATGTTTCAATGGTTGTAAGTGTGAGGAGTAGTTGCAAGCCAATTCTTTCAGTACCATTATAACTCCAAATGGTTGCTAAGCAATGGTTATTAGTCAAGGACTACCTGTACAGTAAAAGATTAATGTGTAGATATGTCTGTGTGCTCTGTGACATCATGCTGGCCACATGATCACAGATACCTCTTTGGACAGCGCTGGCTCAGCCGCCCTTGAAATGGAGATGTGCACTGCCCCCTACAGTCGGCATCGATTAGCGGAGTAAAATCTGCAGGGACTCTGTGTCTGTGTTGTGCACAGTTGCAAAGCAGTTCAAGAGAGGCGCTATTGAAGATCTCAATCAGCAATAATTATGACAAAGTGGAATGTCAATTTTATAATTGGACTAGGAAACAATGTAATCACTGCATCAGAATAATAATATATAGCACATTCAGGTTCCTCAGCTGTTCCCCCTTCAAGTCATGATCTAGAAACAGTTCTGTTAAGCCCTGTTTTAGTCTGAAGAACTAATTTTTCAGTAGCTAAAGTGGGTTGTAAGTACTGTATCAGACTCAGCTTGAGCTTTGTAGTTGGTCAACCATAGCAAATGGTTCTCCCTATATTGTAGGTAGTCATCGGCTGACTTCCATTTGTGCAGCAACCCTTCAAAGTTATGGCAGTGCTGAAAAAAATGACACATAAATGATCCCCGAAGTTGTGGCCATCACAGCACCTCCATGGTCATGTGATTGTGATCCAAGCACTTGAGTGCCCAGCTCACGAGTTATATTGTCACAGGGAGCTGTAGTTATGCAATCACCATTTGCAACCAGCCAGCAAGGAGATTGCAAGTTGCTCTGGTAGTTCGCTCCCGCCTGCAGTCTCTGTCAGCCCTTCCTCAACTTGCTCACGGCCTGCACTATGCTAAATGACTTGTATATTTTGGAATTATGGTGGCAGCTGGATTGCTGGGATTGCCATCACTAACAATATGGTCGTGTGACGTCACCCTTTACAATTGTATCACTTAGTAATAGCAATTCCGGTCCCAATTGCTGTTGAAACTTGAGGGTTACCTGTACAATGTTTTGGGTTCTGCAGATGAAATATGGTCTCTACTTAGCAACAAAGCCTCACCCCCACACACACACCATTTCTTGCAATCAGCAATGTTACATACAAATCCCCACTAACAATAGAAGAGTAAGTTTTTCCAAATGAACCATTGTTGAGTAATTTGGAATCCACAAATTAACCCTGAGAATGTTCAATACAATGAGCTGTCCATATTACAATTTTGGAAATAAAAGATCATTCAGGCTCTCCAGCAGTAAAAGCATCTGCTGCAATCCATGGGCATCATAATTTATTGACAACTTTCTCTAAAATAAAGTGATGCCTCAGCTTCTTCCTACAAAATATAACAAAACTGGATATACATAGCAACATAACTTGTGACTGCTTCAGCAAAATTGATCAATGGATGCACATCTTGATGCCTGTTGAGTTATATTATTTGTACCATAGTTTTATTGAAAAGGTTCTAGGAGGCAAGCTCAGTGCACAAAACCTTCTTTGTTGCCTGTAGTGTATTTTTTACAATAATGTTTAAGAGCATAGTTATTGACACCTAAAAACAATTGACAATGCATGATAAATGGCATATATAGCACATTTGCCTTCTTCATAATGGTATCAATCTGTAGTTATGTTGGACAGTCTGAAGACTACTTTTTGAAATCTAGCCTGCTTTAAATGGAAAGTGTACATATTCAGGCTGTTGGTGTAATTAGTAAAATTGATTCCAAACTGTGTCAATAAATTTATGAGAACTTTAGTTAACAATAATCAACCATATTTACCCCACTGTATTCAGTAGCAAATTGGTTCAGGCCAGTTCGAGGGGACAGATATTTTGCAGTTAAAGTTACAGATTTACCTGCAAGTTAATTTGATTGAATACTGTTACTTCACTCTGAGTAGTGTTATGTAAAGTTGCATGAATAGTCTAGTCATTTAAAACACATAGACAATACCAGTAAATTTAATACTGCCAAACCTGCATATAGCATTTGAATCTCCATCTTATACAACAACCAAAGGATTCATTTATATTAAAAGCTACATTGCTTCTGTCAAAAACTGAATCTAAACCTCACTTTTGTAGTGGTGATGTCAAATAATTGTGTAGGAAAAGAGGCAGGGTTGAAAAGATAGATTAAATCTTCTAACTGCTATGGAGTCATGGTGGTGCAGTGGTTAGAGTGCAGTATTGCAGGCTAATTCTGCTGACTGCCGACTGCCAACTGTTCGATCCTGACCGGTTCAAGGTTGACTCAGCCTTCCATCCTTCCGAGATGGGTAAAAGGAGGACCCAGATTGTTGGGGGGGGGCAATATGTGACTCTGTAAAAACCACTTGGAGAAGGCTGTAAAAGCACTACGAAGCGGTATATAAGACTAAGTGCTATTGCTATTGCTTTGTTCACCCAAGGCTTCTTGACTGAATATTTCACCTGCATAGATGAAATATAATTTTAAGGCACCAGGCTAGAAAGCAAGAGACCATGAATTCAAGTCAGGCCTTGGCCATGAAAGCCAGCTGGGCGATCTTGGGCCAGTCAATCTCTCTCAGCCCAATTCACCTCATAGGTGTTGTGGGGAAAATAGAAGAAGGAAAGTGTGTTGGATATGTTCACCATCTTAAATTATTTGTGGAAGGAAGGGAAGGGGAAGGAAGGAAGGAAGGAAGGAAGGAAGGAAGGAAGGAAGGAAGGAAGGAAGGAAGGAAGGAAGGAAGGAAGGAAGGAAGGAAGGAAGGAAGGAAGGAAGGAAGGTTGACTTTCTCTCTCAAGAGTCTCTCCCAGCCTCTAACCCTGATCCTTTGGCATTGTGTTTTTCAGGCTTCTGGTTGCGATGGTACGGAAATCCCCGACGAGGTAAAATTGATTGGGTTTGCTCAATTAAGCGTCAGCTGATGCCAAAGCACCTGACCCCCCCTCCCCCAGCAAAAGGGTGTGATTGCGAAGAGGCCAGCTTTACATTGTGAAGGAAATTTTTCAAGCACCACACACGGAGTTCCGCTTCATCCAGTAGCACCTCACCAGGTTGGAAACAAGCGAAAGCCCACAGCTCCACCGCTCCTGCTAACATTCCAGAAGCCACTCAATGCTGCTTCAGCAGTTGGATTGGATTTCCCTGACCAGAGAACAGACGGATCAGAAATGCACTTGAGTGGCTGTATCCATTGGTTACAAAAGGAATCTGCTGTCAGAGCTATTTCTTCTTTAATTCAGACAAAACAGTCATTATTTAGTGGACAGTTCTGATTCGTTGGTTGTAGGTAGAATGAATGTAATTATAAACGATAGGGTTTATTAGCCAAACTTGAATTCCTGATTTAAAACCAACTGTGAATTCCCCCCTCCCTCCTTTATTTATGCAATATATATCCTAGCTGTATGAAATTGGACTCCCCCCCCCCTTTCATGATTTATGTGCTAGTTGCAGTTAAATTATGTTTATTTAAAGGGAGGTGGAGATTTCTCTTTGAAGTATTTGTCACAATCCCTAGTTTTGAACTGATGTAGGCATTAGTTTTGGGTTTTGTTTGGTTTGCGTGTTCCTTTAAGCATCGCTCATTGGATTGTCAGTGGCGTG